CACACACACACACACACACACACACACACACAAGCGTATGACACGATCTGGGAAGCCACCACATTGCATCCAATTACAGAAAAACCCTGAAAACAAAAACCAAACAATGGAAGAAATACTTGCTGGTTTTTCTGCCCAAATGCAAAAGGCTATTAAAATAGGTGGTAGAATTCAAAATTATTTTTTTTTAGAAAAGAACAACAGTGCCTGGTTCTAGAAATTGGGTGAGCAGGAGTCTCCCTTGGGCCCCGGGGACATCAGTTCTTGGTCAGCGATGTTTGCAAGGCTGTGAGTAGCATCCTTCTGAGTAAACGGGGAAGGGCTGGTTCCGATTGGAGTCCCAAGTGAGACCTGATGCCTTCTCTCAGTGACTCCCTGTGCTCTTGACATCTCTCAGTGAGGGAAGCTGGGTCCACGTGCCCAAACTTTCTCCCAGTGAGAGAAATTCCATTAAATCAGGTCTCTTTCAAAGGGAACCTCTACTAATGCCCCAACTGTTGTGAGACCAGAGACTTCACATTCACATTCACAAATGGGCAACAGTAGCAACAGCAGAGATATTCCCTGTAAAGAGTATAAATCCACGGCAGCACACCTAAGTCTGTCATCTCTTGAATGAGATCATGTCTCTGCCATGCTCATAAGCATCCCTTATAGGTCATATGGGCCAAGAGGTAAATCAATGTCTGCGGGGTTTTCAACATATAAGCCAGAAGGTGACCTGTTGTTCCTCTAGAGCAGGCATCCTCAAACTGTGGCCCGCGGGCCACATGCGGCCCTCCCAGGACATTTATCTGACCCCCCGGGTGTTTTTGCCCCATTTGGTTTTTTACTTCAAAATAAGATATGTGCAGTGTGCATAGGAATTTGTTCATAGTTTTTCTTTAAACTATAATCCAGCCTTCCAACAGTCTGAGGGACAGTGAACTGGCCCCCTGTTTTAAAAGTTTGAGGACCCCCGGTCTAGAGAATGTCCGAGAGGCCAGTGTTGGTAAGTTTCAGGGCCAGAAAAGGTGACCTGGAGATGGGAAACAGCAGTTGCGACCACTAAGTGCAGACAGGCGTGGGAGAGTGGTCATTCTGAGGCCGTGGGACTAGAAAGCCATGGTCATTTGTGAAGATCAAAGGAAATGAGAGTCGTCTGAGAAATGTGGTGTGGGAGGAAGGCACTTTATGTGTGCGAATGCCAAACAGGGCCTCTGCTCCGTCCCAAGAGGAAGCCTGGTGACCCGGGCCCACGGAAGTCCGATTCCCACGGGCACACAACAAAAAACGGGGAGTAGAGAGGTCGTTCTTAGGTTTTTGTTGATTTGTTTTAAAGGCAACAGGAACTAGTGTCTGACTGCTATTTCAAAGAAGATGTTGATTTTGCAATTAGGGGCCATCACCTTCTAAGCTAAAATGAGGGCTTGCTGTTGGGGGGGGGAGGGTATCGTTCACCTGCCTACAGTCCAGTTTCCTTCCCCTGCTCATAACAGTAAACAGTGCAGTGCAATCCTGTGACATTCCCTCTGGAGAAACAGCAGGAGCTTTGGCAGTGTGTGCTTGCTGGTGGGCCAGGCTTCCCTGCATCAGCCAGGATGTAGCTCCATTCTCCAACCAGTGAAGGAGCCCTTCCATTTTCCAGGTGGAGGGCCCACCGGAAGTTGGTTCAGCTGGCTGACAAGACTGCTGCCTTCCCTCCTACAAGCCCCACTCCCACTCAGCCTGTGGTGATTCCCCAGCTGGCAGAGGGTTTAAACGGTGGTCCTTGAAGTGAAGCTATCTGCACCTACCTCTCTGAAACAAAATCAGCGAAACTCGGGTCTGACATCGGTGCATGGCGTGGTTGGAATGTTTGTTGACAGCCGTAGAAAAAGTCTCGTGGATTCTTTCAGTAGCAGGTATTCTATGTCTGTGCCATGGCCCTGTAATTACTCTGATTACTTTTCTATGGCTCTGTCCCAAATTGTTTCAAATCTAATAGCCTGAAACAACACTCCTTTGCTATCCCACAATTCCTGAAGGTTATAAGTCTGGGTACAGCTGACCAAGAAAACCAAGCTCCCGGCATCGACTTGATTCCAAGCACAGCCACCTGATAGGAGAGCGTAGAACTGCCCCGTGGGGTCTTCAAGGCTGGAAACCTTATGAAAGATGACTGTCACATCGTTCTCCTGCAGAGTGGCTGGTGGGTTGGAACCCCACGTTTTGGTACACAGCTGAGCACTTAACCACTGTGCCACCAGGGTTCCCCGGGCACAGCTAGCTGGGGCCAATGTTCAGCAGCTCACCAAGTTCAAGTTAAGGCCAGGCGTCTGAGGATTTGAGTCATCTTCCAAGAGCAGTAATTCTTGGCAGAATCCTGTTCTTTGTCTTTGCAGGACTGAGGCTTGTGCCTCATAGAGACAGCCTGCCATTGCAAGCATGGCACCCTTTCGGAAATATGGTGATTTCCTTTGCGTTCTCAAGCCCAATAGCGTCCCTGCTGCTGCTCCGGATCTCTCAGACCAGCACTCGGACTCTGGTCCTGACCCCTAGGCCCTCCTCTGAAAGGCTTGCCTCCTAAGATCTGGACCACACCAGACTCGCTCCCTTGTGATTAAATTAATGTCAATGGATTGGAGATTTTGATGACAGCACCGATGATTTTTTTTTCAACGTTAGCCATATTATGTAATCTCACCACGGGGGAGATGCCCCAACATATTCATTGGTCCATAGAAATGAGGGCAGCGGGCCTTCATCTCTTGTGCTTTGCACATGTGATCAAGGGACACCAGTCCCCGGAGAAGGACATCGTGCTTAGGCAAGTGGAGGGTCAGTGAAGAAGAGAAAGACCCTCGACAAGATGGACTAGCACAGTGGCTACCACAGGGGGCTTACACAGAACTCGGATCATGAGGACAGCCTGGGCCACGTATCGTTTCATCCTCGGGTACACGGGGTCACTGTGAGATGGAATCGGGTCCATGGATGGCAGCTAACGACGATCTGCTC